CAAGGATGTCAAACTCGCGGCCCACAACAAATATTTTTGCGGCCCGGCCAATATATCGGCAAATAATAATATATAATAATAAATAACATATCGACGAAGAAAAAAAATGAAATGTTTACTGCTAAGTAATTAACGATAATTTATTCAGTGTTGTTAGATTACTCACAGCGAGCTGACACACACACTACTTAAATTACAAATGCGTGTGAGTAGCTTGCGTTCAGCTACCTTCGGCTTTTGGGGGACACGTGCACTCAGAACTTGTACGCATCCCCCGATAGCCGAATGTGGCCGAACTCATGGTCTCAGTTTTCCAATCATAGTTTTGTACGATATATTGGTGCATGCATGTGCATGCACTTTGCTTTATTATTAATTATTACTTAATTCATATTGTTACGGATTTCATAGTTATTTATTTAGTTAGTTTTTTTTTTTTTTTATTTTTTTTTTTATTTAGAATTGTAATTAGATTTGCTTCATGTTGCCTTAGCAACGCAGACGATTTTTGAAAAGACAGCTGCGTTGGAAGGTTAAAAATAGAACAGCGCGTGCATTTAATACCTAATAAATAAATATCTCGTAATTGCTGTTGCCATCCACAAAAATCCAGATATTTATAGATGTTTCCAGTATATTCGAGAAATTAATTATAAAGCTTATAAAAGCCGAGAACAAACAACTCATCTCAGTAGTAGCTGTAGTTCTAGCGAACTGTTTGTTTACTTAATGCTGTGATTGATTTGTAGCGATTTCGCTGTGAGATAGAATTAGTTTTTCTCTGTTTTGAATTGATTTTTGCTAAACGTTTGACATTTTGTGATATTGTTAGAATATTTTTGAAGAAATATTTCAGCATTTTGATTTATCTCTTGTGGAAAGAATAAATTTTTGTTAACTTTTTAACGTTAACCGTGTTTATTCCAGCCCTTTGTATTCAGTATGTCTATATCAAAACCAAGTGGTAGTAAAATTAAACGAAAAATCGCTGACGAACATAGAATATTCCAAGTAAAATGGGAATTAGAATATTTTTGCTGTGAAATAAAAGATAAAATAATCTGCTTGATATGTAATAATACTATTAATGTACCAAAGTTATATAATATTAAACGTCATTACGAACAACACAAATCGAAATATAACAATTACGAAGGATTAATGAGAGAAGAAAAGTTGAAAGAGCTCAAGTTAGGAGTGAAAAAGCAACAGTCCATGTTTAGTAAAGTATTGCAAGAAAGTGAAGCGGCGGTACATGCAAGCTACGTCTTGTCCGAGTTGATAGCTAAACATTCGAAGCCTTTTACTGACGGTGATTTCATCAAGGAATGCCTAATGAAAGCTGGAGAAATTGTTTGTCCTGGAAATGTGAAGGCTTTTCAATCAATTTCATTGTCTCGAAATACAGTTGCGGAAAGAGTTACTGATTTAGCCGCGAATTTAAGTGATCAGATCAAAGCAAAATCATCTAGTTTCGAAAGTTTCTCCATTGCCTGTGACGAGAGCACGGACATTAGTGGCAAAGCTCAATTAGCAGTGTTTCTTCGTTCTTGTGACAAGAATTTTAACATTTTTGAGGAATTACTGGAACTAATACCGATGCCTGGTACTACCACAGGAGAAGATATATTTACTTGTGTTTTTGGACTTCTGCAGAAATACAATCTACCTTTGGCAAAATTAAATTCTGTAGCTACAGATGGCGCTCCATCAATGACCGGGAAAAACAAGGGCTTCGTAGCATTACTAAGAAAAAAACTTAGTGAAATTCACGGTTCAAACATTCATCATATGCATTGTATTATACATCAAGAAGTTCTATGCACGAAAGTAATAAATATGGAGAATGTTTTGTCATATATAAAAAAAGTTATAAATTTTATAAGATCTCGAGGTTTAAATCAGCGTCAATTCACTGCTTTCTTAAGTGAGTTAGATAGTGAATATTCGGGTTTGTCCTACTATACCGAGGTACGTTGGTTATCTTGCTCCAAGATTCTCAAACAATTCTGGGATTTGAAAGAAGAAATATGTCAGTTTTTAAAAACGAAAAATCAAGACGTAAGTTTGTTTTACGATCCAATATGGATACAAGATTTATCTTTCTTGGTTGATATAACCAAACACTTAACCGATTTAAATTTATCGTTACAAGGAAAAGATCATATCATTACGAACATGTTTGACATAATTAAAGCATTCAAATGTCAACTAGTTCTTTGGGAAAAACAACTTAAAAATGAAGATTTGACGCACTTCCCGACGTGCAGCATGAACAAATCAAGTTTAGATGATACTTGTTCGTATCAAAAATACGCAGAAAAAATTGCAAATTTAACAACTGAATTTGAAACGAGGTTTAATGATTTTAGTTCCCTCGAAGACAAATTTTTTTTTTTTGTTTTCTTCGATTTTCTCAATAAGTATTGACTCAGTACCCAGCCATATGCAAATGGAGGTGATCGAGATTCAATGCAACTCAAATTTGAAAGCAAAATTCATTGAAGTGGGCGTGCCTGAATTTTACAAATATTTACCAGCCAGGTTTGAAAATACTCGAAAATTCGCATATGAAATTATTTCCATGTTTGGTAGCACTTATCGGTGCGAGCAGTTATTTTCAGTCATGAAAGGTAATAAGTCTCCTATTAGAAACCGTATTAATGATGCTCACCTTGGGTCAGCGTTGAAAGTTATCACTGCAAACAAAATTTCTCCCGAAATAGGAAAGATAATAGCAGAGAAGAGATGTCAAGTATCAGGACGTAAACATTAAATTTTTCTTGTTCTTTTCTATATAAATATATATATATGTTTATTATTGTATTATTCGAAATAATCTACGTTTCTATGAATATTGATTTTTTTTTTTTTGGCCCGCCTAAAGTTAAACCTTGTTTGTTGGCCCAAGTGTACCTATGAGTTTTTGGAATCCTGTATTAAGTCATCCTGAAATTACTTTTTTAATTATTATATTTATTGACATATTTGAGACTGTATAAATTTTGTATAGACTGTATTTACCAAAATGTTAATGTTGCAGTGAAATAGAATTTTTGTATAAATCATTTTTATTTCCATGCTTCACTGTGCCATGATGCATCAGTTATGTTTTTTGGCCGTGTTGATAAGTTAATCTTTCCAAAAACTTTGTCATCAAGAATCCATTAATATCTCATATTCCATTCATTGTGATTTAAAAGTTTGTTGCTTAATATTTCATAGAATACAAAATGTACTCCATCTTATTAATTTTGTAGGTTAAAACAAATAGTATTTCTATTTAAAAATAATTTTTTTGAACTTGAATATGAACACAGTATTTCAAATAAAAAGTGTGCTACTGAGAAGTTGGATTTTTACTGTATATATCCACATAGGCTCTGGATGATTTTTAAGTATATAGTGTTTAATAATAATATGTGTGATAATATTTTTTAAGAATGTCTGGTATAAAATTTTCTTTATATTAAGTGTTTCTGGCATGAACTTTTATTATTTTTCATGCAAAACAAGGCAGTGGTAATTGTTATAGAATCTCATTGAAAGCTTTTTTTGCTCTAACTTAAATGAAATACCTGAATTTATATCAAAAGATGAAATTAGTTAAAAAATTTAGCATAGAAGAAATAGTCTTTTTCTCATATTTACTCCTTTTGATAAATCCTTACCTCAAAAAAATTTGCTTAATAAATTAACGATAATTTATGTTGCCCAGGAAAAAAGCAAAACTTTCCTTGTGTTGACTTTTTAGTAACAACTAGGGCATAGCAGTTATTTTTTTCTCTAAATTATTCATTAAAATTAAGGAAAATATTTTATAGAACAAATTAATAAATGTATGAGAGAGATATCTCTTTAACAGAAGGAAAACATTCAGTAAATTAAATCCTGATACAGTACATTAAAGTGAATTTCAAACAATGTGAAAATATATAATTTTTTTTTTTTTAGGCAGTGTTAAGACTTCTCCAGATATTTCTAATTAAGGCAGATTTTGAAACAGAAAATACTTGGTGCTTGGGCAATGATATCTTGTCTGTTTGCCGAGCTTTTCTAAAATTTCATGATGTGCAAATATTTTATTATGGTAAGTTTAAGTCTTTTTTTTTCTTCTCTTTTTTTTTTTTTTTTTTTTTTTTTTTTTTTTTTTTCCGCTCTATTTAAAAGCATTTATATTTATATCAACTTATTTGCCGTTTTTGTCAAAATTTAGCATCAATTAACTGTTATGTGTATTTATTGTTTGTAATATTTCATTTTTCTAGATCTTGCTGAAGTTCTTTGTTCAGTGGCACTCAAATTCAATGATGCTGACGTCAAAGATAGAGCTAAAATCTACTATAGTTTGTTGACTTCCCTGTCTAGATTGAAAGTATGTTAGACTTAAAATTAACAAAAAGTTTATTTATAAAATTTGTATGTAGTTGCTTATTATGAAAAGTGTCATAAAAGGGAATTTTATTTTTTTTACATGTGTAACAGGTTCAGACTATCTTCAATTTACAAGCGTCAGAGAGAGATACAAAAAACCCTTTTATATCTTTTGTAACTGGTAAGCATAGAATTCTTTATCTGTTTAGTAGTTCACCATATGCTTTAAATGTACATATTTATCATAGTTTCAATTATAAGCAACCAGTAATTTATTTGAATTAGAACCACATCCTACTGTTAGCATACATTGATGAGACCCTATGCCATCCACATACACACACATAGATGAACTGAATGCCACCGTGACATATACAACACACCTGTCTGGTAAAGGTTATAAAATGGGATGAAAGTACTTTTATATAAGAGTACTTTTATATAAGACCTGTAGTTAAGACACACTTGAGAAAAATTTTTGGTGTTGTAAATAATGATGGTTAGTAGTGATGTAAGTCTTCTTCTTCAATGGCCAGACAGCCCAGGATGGGCCTTTGCCTTCCTCAGAATCGAATTCCAAGCTCTTCTATTCCTGGCCATGGACATCCACTTGGTATTTAAAATTCTTAGTTGTTCCAAACAGTCGAGCCACCGAAGCTAGGTTTCCTCTTTTTCGGTGCAAATGTTGGCTGAGAAGATCTTTTCAGTTACTCGATTTTATCCTTCTGTCAGGTGTCCTGCCCATTTAATTCTCTGAATCCTATATATTTACTATATCTATTTCTTTAAAGATTTATAGAGTTCAGAGTTTAGTTCTTCTCCAGATATGTACTTTTATGCCACCAAAAATACTTCTCAAATTTTTTCTTTCAAAGACAGAAATGATACTTTTAGCTTTTTCTGTCATTGCCCAGGTCTCAGCAGCATATATAAGAATGGGTCTGATTAAACTTTTGTTAATTAAAATCTTCGTTTTTTGCTAGTGAAGTTAGACTTCAAGTATTTTTTGAGACTGAAAAAACATCAGTTAGCATCTGTGCATCTACTACGGATCACTGGAGTGATGTAAGTATAACAGCAAATTATATGAAATATGGGAAAAAGTGATATGGTACAAAGTTCAAGATCTGGGGTCATGGAGACTTTGGTGATTCCAGATTTGGGGTTTTTACTGATATTAGATCGTCATTTTAAATCTAGTAAAATGACATGTAGAAATTATAAACAATTATGACCTTTTTACAAAGAAATTACAAATAAAAAAAGCAATACATATTTGTTTGCTTTAAACATTCCTTTCAATAATTTACACCGTGCAAAAAAAAAAAAAGGGTGGGTGTTGAGATCTCTCAATAGAGGACATTGTAGCACTCCTCAACTATGTGAGAAAAGTTTCAATTTGAGCCAGAGTTGGCGTGGGTTTTGAGAATGTAGTGTGAAGAGCTGTGTAACGTGTATTTGCTATGCAACTGTACTATGTAATATAATGTAATTAAATGTATTTATTTAAAATGTGGAGCAATTTCGAAGGATCATACTTCACATTTTTTGGAGCCACCAAATAAGGAAGAGTCAGTCTTGGAAGCTGTGGATTCTAGTGGTTTAGTTTCAAGCTTTGTTTGGGAATTTGTGGAATTTTGCACGAAGTGAAGGTAGGATTTGTTTTGATGTTTTGTTTGAAATTTGAAAGGAGTGTAGCGGAGTTATGTCTACATTAATTAAGTTAATTAACAAAGTTGAAGCTTTAAGGAAGATTCTAGCGAGATAGATGTTACGAATAAGGTAGATAATCCCTATATTCTGAAGACTTTACCATTCCTTAATTTTTGTTGCTCGTTCTAAATTCTAAAAATTCTGCCACCCAGTTCAGTCGCACCAACTCTAGCACCCTTCCTGGGCTTATACGAATAAAAATAATTTATTTTCAGTTCTCAAACAGCCCTAAATGTAATCTTTTAGCCTGTGAGGGTCATTTACAAAATCTGTTTTTTGCATATGAAAAGAAATTTTTGTTTATTTTTTCCTCTTCAACACATTTGACACTTCACAATGCAGTTAGTTGAAGTCTGTAATCATTGCCAAGCGGAATATCAACATAAAAGGTTACCATACTGTTTCATATTCAATTACTAATATTTTTTTTAATTTTTTTAAAAAATTTAGTAAATATAGCTACTTCAGTCATTTCTCAAACTGCCATGTCTTGATAATTATATGGTGATAAAAGCAAAAAACAATAAATATTGATTTGCAAGGTTGGTATCAGAGATGTAAATTATTCAGTAGGTGTAAAATCAAAGATGTTTTGGTGCAGAATTTTTTGTTTGAGATGCTTGCCAGACAAAAAGGTGGCTATAGAGCCAAATAATTTATCATACAGATTTATGCTAATAAATGTTTGTTTCTTCAGTATGGAATTATTGTATTTTGTGAGGAAGGGAAATTAAGAATCGGGTCTCTCTGCATATTTTGATATGGAAAAATATTAAATGCACATAGTTAAAGCACAGAAAAAATTTCATAATCCAGAGGTCCAGATTTTACAGCATTTGGGATATTGGACATTGGGATTTCGGGTACTGTATTATCAAAACCATTAAAATTACCACATAAAATTTGCTGGTCATGTTCACAAAATAAATTCATTTTAACATTTAGAATTTTTAGCTGTAAACTAATGGAAAAATGAGTCAGAGGAATGCCCACTCTTTGATAGTTGTACTGTTTTGATAGTGGCTTTAATATTATTAAAATCACCATTTATAAAATTCTATCCAAAGAGGCAGTGGCATAGAAGATTCTAAGGAAGGTTTATGGCCCATCCCACCTGTCATACCAGTAAAAAAAGAGAACATTTATCCATATATTGAATCATAAATAAATATGGTGTGCAGCATATTTATGAAGAAGAAAATGGCTAATATGCAGTTTGTGACAAACATAATAAATAAATAGATAAATATTATGTTGATATTAAAGAGCATGGAAATTTGATACTATAAATGTGCACAGCTATTCATAAAATATTAATGAGAAATTCAACACAGTTTTTAGAACAAGAAAATTCCTAACTGCTTAATGGGGGGGGGGAGGAGGAAAAGGAGACTAAGTGGGCTTAAGAAACTACTGTTATTGCTTAACAAAATTACCTGCAATGTATCCCTTAAGTGTATACTGTTCAAAATATTTTAACTTCATAATTCTGTTAAATACCATACATTTTCATGTATTAGCCACACTTTTTCACACACACACACAAAAAAAAAAAAAAAAAAAAAGAGAGAGAGAGAGAAAGATAAAAATTAGATATATGACTTAAATATGTGAATGATTAAAAACAGGTACATGCAAACATATTACATCACAGCAGTACATATTTACTGATTGAGTATTATAAAGTCCATTGTTTTTGAATAAACATTACATAGTATTTTAGCAACTTTCACACCTCCAAAATGCAAAAAAAAAATAGATTGTAGATAGGCTATCCGCGGCTCATCCTCGAGGATTTTTTTTTTTTTCTTAATTAAAGGTAAAAATTAAGGCTGCAGCTTATACATAGGAGAATATGGTATGTAAAAATGGTTGTAGTATGAAAATAAGAGCCACTTTTTAGAAGAACTGAGCAAAAAGTAAAGAAATTGAATTAAAATGCATCCTGGTGATAGGAGAGAGACTCTTGCTTTAGAAAAAAAAATAAATAAATAAAAATAAAGAAAGAAGATCTTGTAATATTGAAATTAGTGGAAAAGAAAAATGAAGTTGTAAATAGATTTTAAATTTCAATTAGATGAATATTTACTTTGTCTTAATCTATTTAATTTTTTGCTATGTTCAATTGCTAATTACTTTATTTTGATTTTAGGTGTAGATTCTAATTTTCAGTCAGCATCTTCTATTCAGAAGTTAGCTAAGCCTGTGTTACTACTAAAAAGGTTAACTCTATTTTCTGCATATATAACTGTAATTTTTTTGGGGGGAAGAGCAGATAATTTGGTCCAGTTTTTTTTAGTTTGATAAAAATTAGTAAAGTGTTTGCCAATAATTTTTAAATATCTTGAGTTGTAGAATTTAGATAATACTACATTCTTTGTATATATCCTTTTCATAATGTAATAACTTAACTTGCATTACACTGAAGTAGAGGCAGCTTTGAGAGAACTTTAATATCCTGAACGGGGAGACATGGCCAGCACATTATGTTATGTGTGGCAAATATTTAGGTAGATGACCTTCAATAATGAACATCTTTTATTTCAAGATTCTAATGGTATAAATTTCACGTAATTTTTATGTGAAGATAATCCTAAGATGGTTAGAAATATGCAAATATACACAAGATTAGAATTTTAATGAACAATAATTAATTTTATTAGCTTAGCTTGCAGGCCACAGAAGAACTCATGAGTCATGCAATCCAATACTTGGGCATCATTAGACTAAAGTAATATTGATTATGATTAATTTACTTTTTGCAGACTAATCAAGCTTTAAGGATTTTTTTAATTATTTTATTTATTTATTAGCCTGAAGGGCTATTAATTTCGTTTTGGCATTTTGCATTGGAAACTTTAAATGTTGGTTCACTTTTCAAATTGTTGCCACCAAATATTATTTGCCTTGTGTTATATTTAAAGAAATTAAATAATGAAGGATCTGCATAAATGTATCTATGTTTCTCACATTGTGATAAAATAACGGTACTTAGAGCCATCAAATTTTGAATAAAGTAATCTTCTGCAGAATATGGGCATCTGGAAGCCCTAATTTGGAATTTGAAATTTGTTTTATTGATTTTCATATTCTGTAACACTTCAATGAATTTTTGATTAACAAACTCAACTCTTTCAAAGTGAGCAATGGCAAAACTGTATTGGGGGGGGGAAACATTTTTACCTCCAGCGACTGTTTATAGGAAATTCAAAACTTTGTTGTTGTTGTTGTTGTTGTGGGTGTGTGTGTGCATATAAGCTTGTGGATTTGGACTGAATAACAACAACACTTGATAAAGTATCTAAACACAATTTATTAGCCAGTATTATTCAAGACAGCTCCAAAATCATGTTTACAGTCGTCGAAGAACTACTATAAACACGCTGAAACAATCAGCGACACGGCCTTCAAGCTATAACGGTGAAGACCGCTTCACGGCAAAGCACCAGAGTACAGTTCCCGACTCTGTTCATTCGTTCTCAGATCTCTACATACTCTCGAGACTCTCCATGCTGCAACTTGCGATGCACTTGACAGTACACTAGAGTTCAGATTCTGACTTGGTTCGGTTGTTCTCAGAGCTCAGCACTCTCTAAGATAAATACTCAACGATACACTAACTCGTAAAACACTAAGATACTCTCTCGATGCATTCAACGACCAACTCGGCACTAGACTACGAGACACTCGCTGACTGACTATTAACTGACTCTCTGCATACCAGCAGAGTTTATATATCTTTTAACTTGCCTTCGGGAACATTCTGGGCCAAACCGGTAAGAATTCAGTCCAGAAGGTTCTCCATCCGTCTATGGCATATTGCCAATTTTGTCGCCAAATGGGTGGTTTTTCGCCAAATATGGCAACCCTACTTTCCCTTGTCATTTTCCGGCAACCCTAAACCTGCTTTGCGGGAAACCTATCCTTACTGTGGCTTGACATTTCATAACAATATGCTCATTTAAAAATTATTTTACGATATTCCTGCTGAATTGAATTTTATCGTTTAAGTGCAAAGAACATTTAATAAATAAATATAACACGAAAGTTTAAAAAAAGTACCTTTGGGCATAATGTAAAATCTAAATGCTTTCAGTTTTTTTTTTTTTTTTACTTATAATACTGATAGCCAACCATTATAGTACTAACCCTTTTAATAATGAAGAACCATTCATCAGTTAAGTAAAATGTTCTTTTATCATCTTTGTAAAAGGAAGTAATGTTATCACAAGGGAGAATTTGTATGAGGAAATCCTGATATTTGTGAAACTTTCATGATCTAAGACTAAACGACATGCATTTTTGTATGTTAAGTGTTTTGTTATATACCAAATACAAAGTAATAATGCAATTAACTTACTATATTACTAAAATAAGTATTATACCATATACTTTTAAACTAAAATTTCTACAATTAAACCTTCCATAAGGGGTCACTTCCGGAACCAAGGTTTCTGTTTTTTATCTTGATGTGTATTGGTCTGCTATCTCAAAGGTCTAGAAGTCCAAGAATTATTCATTAATGAAAAATGTCTGCTGAAGTGGAGTGTTCATTAATGGAGGTTAAGCTATATACATCACTGGCTGCTATATTGTTGGTCTTGGCTTCGAATCCCTAAGAAGATAGGGATGTTTGTAGGTGTATAGCATCTGTGCTGTATGGAAGCATTTAAAATACTTTATGATACCTGATGAACTAAAAGTCCTTATAAGTGGCATGGTGGGAGAGGAAAATTTTCAAAAATCCTAGAGTATTATCAAAACTGGAGAGAGAGATATATTCTTAACAGTTAAACTATTTTTTTAATCCATCAGTTATAATTTTAGGATGAAATAAAAAGGAATTGGCTCATACCTCTCTTATGATATTATTCTAATCACCCATTGTGTAGTGATTTATTTGAATCAAGCTTTGATTCATGACTTAATAGATCTCATAAATAAATAAATTGTGCTGTTGTAACAATAGGAATGCATGAGGCAACAAACTATATTTGTGTTGAGATACCTTTTTCTTTCCAGCATTTTTGTTTTGGCCTAATACCAAGGAAATATGTGACAACAACAACAAAAATAAATAAAATAAAAATAAAATATCTGAAAGTTTTCAGACTTTAAATTACGTCCAAAGAGGCTTTTTTTTACATTTTGTGTGTTACCTTTATTTATTAAATATCATGTTCTTTGTAATTAAACCATAAAATTCAGTTCAACAGCAATGTCGCAAAATAATTTTAAAATGAGCATATCTTTAGAATTTCCCATACACAGTTCCGTCCGCTGGAGATAAAAAGGTCCCCCCCCCCCCGTAAAGTGTTGCCATTGATCGCTTTGAAATTGTTGAGTTTGTTAATCAAAAATTCGTTAAAGTTTTACAAAATATGAAATCGATAATAAAACAAACTCCAAATTTCAAATTTGGGCTTTCAGATGCCTATATTTGCAGTAGGATTACATTGTTCAAAATTGGATGGCTATAGGTACTGTTGTTTTATCACAATGCGAGAAACATACATACATTTATGCAGATTCTTCGCTATTTAATTTCTTCAAATGTAATATAGGGCGATAGTATTTGGTGGCAACGATCTGAAAAGTGATACAGCCTTTTAAAGTTTTCAATACAAAATCGCAAAACGAAAACAACAGTCCTTCATGGAGAAAGCCCCTTTAGACTTGGAAAAAAAAAAGAAGGGTTTTTTATTGCGGATTCTAATGAAGACAGAATTAAAACGGGGAAAAGTATTCTAACATTTGTAATAGAAATTAAAAGACTGTAGAAAAAAAAAATCTGAGACTTATAAAGTCAGCTGATATTTACTGAAAAAATTAAAACTTGCAAGTCTGAGAAAATTACCTAAAATTCACAGAATAATTACATAAATTTATTTTACATTAAAGTTATTCATAAACACACTACACTGAATTTAGCAATCTCGTCAGGCTGAACAAATAACAAATCGAATGGAGATTTTACCTCTAATCATGAAGACTTGATATGTTCCTCTGAATCTAACTAAATCTGGTTAATGAGACATTCAAGGATTTTAAATATTTCATTATTAAAAAACTAATAAGATATGTAACTGATATAATACAATATAACAAGTTTTGTGTTGAACCTCCACATAGCAATTACACTTTTTTGTTTGTTTACTTTTAATTTCAGCTTTGGGGGAATGTTCCCCTTATCATTTGCACCATTTGTTGAAAAACCAGGTCATTTGAGTTCTAATATTATAACTCAACCTCTTCATAAAAGGTGAAAGAGATTATTAGCTTTCAGCTCATCAACTATTCATATTATGTGTTTGATACCTATTGATCATCAACTGTTCAAACATGTGTTTGTAACCCCAAAAATTGTATGGAAAATTTCAAATCTCGATAAATGAAATTGTATTATTTTTTAGGTGATTATCAGTTTTTTAAATGATTATTTTTAATGCTTATGGCTTTCTTGACCATCACTAGTATAATCATTTAAAAAGCAAAACACATGTGGTGCTTGCATGTATGGGTTGACTACCATGGGTATATTCGAAAATATGCTTAAAACTCAAAAATTCTATCGATGTTGACACCTTGGATGCAGATAATTATTAGAAAGCCCTACATTTTGGGCTGGAGGGTGTATAGATTTATAATCTTTGTAGAGTATGTATGATGATCAGGCTTATACCTGCCTGTTCATTATAGCTAACTAAGTTTTACACCTTTTTGGTGACTATTCCATAGCAGAGATGGCATCTTGAAATGATATAGCAATGATATATCTTGCAATGATAAACAGTATATTAAGTGTTTAATTTGGTAACATATTGTTTGTATTTTATTTTCAGATGATTTCTCTCTTTTCTGTTAAAATGAGCAAATAATTTTTCTTTCTTTTTATCACCAAAACTTTTCTGTTGTGGAGTACATATGGTTGAAGTTTATATTTTAAGATAAAGTAAAATAATAAGCAATAGTTGAACATTTTAAATTATATAATAATTTCTACAATAAAATGTAAGACTTCCAAAATTATATTATTGAATACTTTCAGCATTTCAAAAGTGCAAACACTGTGAAATCAATACTGCTTCTTTTCCAGTTTTGTGAAATTTGTGTCGTAAAGTTACTTTTCCATTCCATATTGCAGATTTATTCTTACTCCAGAGCAGAGAATGTAAAATGACTTAAATTTCAATGTACTATTCTTTTTGCAAGTCATACAAATCTGAATATTATCAGGCAGAAATTAAACTAATTCTGCTTGGTAATTATTGTCAACTCAGTAAAAATACATGTGCAGTAAATTTCTGTAGTCATTGTTGTCAAATTACATATATTAATATATTAATTCTAAAGTTAATTGTATCAAAATTTGTAGAACTGTATTTTTATTTCCAGATATTATTAATGTGGTCACTTCAAAATCTGAATTGAGAAATAAATTTATTAATCAGTCTTATAGTATATTCCTGAAAATTTAGGTTTCTGAGCCTGAAATAATCGTGTGTCACTCAGGATACTTCTTGTTTGACCACTTGATTGTAATTTCCATTACTGTATAAAAATATTTTAAATCATTTGTATTTGTTTTTATAGAGTTAAACAAAATAATGGAAATTCTTTAAATGATGTGATGGCCAGATCAGCTTCTGTACCTATTGCTAGTAAGTAACTGAAAGTGAACATTTAGTTTTTCCTATATTAAATATATTGCAGCAGTATATACTGGCTAAAGGACTGAGATTATTTATATTATTCAGATTGTGGCAAAGCATTTGAGGGCTATTTCCCTGAGAAAAGACTTTTTGAGAGGAACCTGTTCTCTTTCAGGTTATACATGGAAAAAACCATGAAAACTACCAAGCAGCCAGCTTGTTTATCAGAATTTAAATGCAGGTTGAGCTACAAATTGGTCAGTACTACATAAACCATAAAACATCTCTATCATTTTCATTGAGGCTTATTTAAGTAGCTTGCTTGATATATGCAATAACTCCAATCTTTCCATGTCTAATCAAATTTAAATTTGTTGGAGTAATCTCAATTAGGTAGGGGCCCTTTTCGATGTGTTCATTCAATGATACAGAGTTTCCATTTCTAGCTGAGCCATGAAACGCAAGATGAACTTTAGTGGTGGAACTTTCTTTAAATATTGCTGTGTGTGGCAGATAATGTACAGCCATATTTTTTTTACACTTAACTGACCAACTTCCTGAATGATACCTTCTTTTTTCCCATTAATTGAATAATTGTTGATATCATTATAATAGATTCTTTGATTTAAGAACTTTCACCGTGCTCTGAAGCCTTTTTTCAGCTGACTCTTTATTATCAGGTAAAAGAGGATATCCTCTAAACCAGAGCAAATGGACCTGTTATCTGCCATTAATATCTAAGAAATTCCCTGAAATGTTTTATAGCAAGGGTTCCTGTTTTAGTGCATTTTTCGCAGCTAGATTTAATGCCGAAATTATCTAAATTCCAGAGATCTTCAGTCTTTATATTATTTACATGAAGTAACAATACTTGAACTGTTTGCAAACATATTTTTTGTTCTCAAATTTATCCATTACTGCCCCCCCCCAAGAATATGTGAAGAACAATTAAACCTCCTGAAAGATGTTAATAATTTTGCTGCATAATCAGATATAATAAGCAAATGAACTTCATCCAAATTATTTTCGTACAAACAGGATTTATCATTTATAGCCATATTGCTTAGTAAAAGCCCAAGATCTTTTAACTGGTTCAAGCATTGAGAATCATTTAACTTAGGAATAGAAGCACAAATTTTATTTTCGTCTAAAACCTCTAATTCACACTTAAAGCTTCCATCTACACATGCTAGCTTAATGCAGTAATTTTAGTGCTTTCCTGTATGTACAATTCCTCCAAATAAACCATGCTTGACAGATATTTCTCTTAATTCCTTTAATTTCACCTTTTTAGCAGCAGATTTGGATAAATAGCTGGTTTGACTACCCATGCCTACACTTACCCTTATAAGATATTTCAAATTGTTTTCCTTAATATACATTATCAAGGTTTGAAGATAAATTTCACTTAAACTATTATTATGCAAAGGAACAGTGTTCTGAGTTACTTCATTTACCTCATTCATTATGGCATTATTGGTAAATTGGTTTTTCTCCAGGTAACACATTATTTCTGTCTTTTTCTGCGAATGCTGCACTTCACCTTCGATAAATACTTGGATGAAATATGAGCAGCTTACAAACACTGGAAGCAAATACCATTTTTAATTAGCAGCGATTTCTTGTTTTCAATTGACAAACCCTTTCCATATAAACAGTCTTCGACCAAATAGGATTCCTTTCTACAGAAGATACAAAGTTTAGATTTCAAGGCCAAATTGTTTTCTAATAACTCAGAAGCTTTCACTGGGCCTGTTTTCTCTTTTTGCTTTTCTAATCGCAGATCAGTCAGTCAGGAATTAAATGCCTTTGGATGCAAAGGTTTGGTAAGTTATAAAAGTGCAACTCTGTTTTTTTTTTTTTTTTTTTTTTTTTTAGCTGTTAACTTTTTGTGCAAAAAGCCAATCAGATCATTAATATAATACTTATCTCCAACAGGAGTGTTTGTGCTCCGGAGATTTTGAACTTCGATGCCCGGAAATTCCGGGGATAGTCGTTCAAAAGGAAGTAGGAATAATAATGAATTATTTATTTTGATCTGTGTAATTTTGTTTGCTTTGAAAGCAGAAAACGCAAGGTCAGTGTGTGTGGTGAAAACTTTTCCTTTCTTTCTCCAAAGGCAGTGATAATGCGTGAAAAGGGGAGAAAAACTTCTATTTTGTTCTTTCCTTATTGCGAGTTATGACTCATTCCCCTGGTTCTCGGACATTCTCTTCTAGATTCTTTTCGGCAAGTAGGCGCGGCAGAAAAAAAAAGGGAGAGACTTCGTTCGACCAGATGTGCGATCACTTGACTCTGGGTTCAAAGGTCTTATCTCTCCTGGCGTGATGCCAATAAGTAGAGAAGGGGGATTTTTCGCCGTATTAACTATTTGTCATTGATCGCTTCTCAACTTTTTTTTCTCCGCTGTGTAAAATTTTCGTTTCATTTATTGATGCACGTGTAAATTTTTCGTTTCGTTTATTGAAATATTTTTTTTATTTATGTACGCAAGAGAATTTCACTATGAAATTTCTCGATATAAATAGTGATATTATACAGTTAGAAGAAGGTGTCCGGTCCGGAATGCATTTAGGTGGAATTGGATTGAACGGAGAGATGGTAATGGGGATACCATCGGCACAAGGTGCAAGAAAATAAATGTTGCTGGACAAGCATATTGTGTTTTTTGTAACTCACTGCTGAAGTATGGTGGGGAAGGATTCAAGGCTTTCACAAATCATTCTAAAACTGTAACGCACATAAAATATTCAAAGTGCATTAGACATTCAATGACTTTAAGTAATTATGCTAATTCAAAAAATACTGATGACTTACTGGAGACTGATGCTCGGCCATTGGATATAGTGACAAGAAAAGCACGCCAAAAGGTATTAATAACTTTGTTTATCGCCAAGAATTCTCTTTCTTTCAATGTAGCTCCCAATTTAATTGAACTCTGCAAACAGTTGAGCCGCGATCAGACGGCGCTAAACTCGTTGGAAATGTCCAGGACTACTGCATGTTATAAGATGAAACATGGGCTCGCAAAAACTATTAAGGAAAATATCATTAAAACTTTAAAGGAGACTTCATTTTCTCTAAATTTGGATGAAAGTACTAGGAATGCTCAAGAAAGTATACTGGCAATATTGGTGCAGTTTTATGACAACAATCAAAATGAAGTTGTAGTTCATCATTTTGCATCTCTAAAGATGGACTCTTGCAATTCAGAAGCTGTTTTTAAAGCAGTTGTTAATACTATTGAAGATAATAATATTCCATGGGCAAACTTAATTAGTGTATTAATGGACTCATGTAACACCATGCGTGGAAAAAAAAAAGGGTGTTGAAACCAGACTACGATCAAACAAAGCACCCCACTTATTAGATATTGATGGTGACACATGTCACATCTGTGGGATCTGTGGAATGCTCTTATTGCATTTTATTTTCACTACTTGGATAAAACTGATAAAGGGGATTATTTTTCTTATGTTGAAACTGTATGCAATAAAAGAAATATTTCTGCAGCTCAGAAAAAAATTGTTGAAGGGGTGTATTCTTGCTTGCATTCCCAACAACTCACAAAGGATGCTTTAGCTCGGGAAAAGAATACTACATGGGTTATTTGTTATGCAAAACAAAACTTTATTGCATATGGCATTATATTCAGCAGTATTACCAGAGTTCAACACATATATTAAATTATTTGAAACAAAAAAACCAATGCTTCATTTAATACATTCCAGTATTTATAAATTGATGGCAAAATTTTTCTCTTTTTTTATGAAGCCAGAAAATATAGAGTGCATATCTTATAATGATTTATTAAAGGTTGATATCACAAATCCAGAATTCCATCTACCTAGCAAAGTAATATTTACTGGTGCAGAAGCTTCCACTCTCCTGAAGAAATTATCAAAAAATCATCCAATAGCAAAAGAATTCCAAATTTCTCTGATGAAAGCTTATACTAATACAGCACAGCATATGAAACAGAAATTATCCCTTAAAAATTCATATCTAATTAGTTTTACATCATTAGATCCAGAGCTAAGAGGTAAAACCAGTACAATATTAGCTTTTGAAAAATTATCATCTTTTATGTCCCATATTTTTAGTGATAATGAAAAGTCAAAAGTAGAAGCTGAAATAAGGTTATACCAGAGTGATATTGATATCACCAAAGAAATGCTCTACACATCTGATGAAAGTGGAAATCAAGTCAAGTGTACAATTGATAAATATTGGTCTAAAGTTTTTAATTTAAAAGATGATTTCACAAATGATTATAAGTATCCTACATTGGCTAAATTGGTCAAAGCATGCCTTAGCTGCTTCCATGGCCCATTAGTGGAAAGTGCATTCACTTGTCACTGACTATAGAACCTCTCTTAAGATTGATTCCCTAGATGCAGTGCAGACTATTAAATATGATTTAATGGCTTCTAAAGAAACCTCATGTGAAAAATATGGCTCAAAAAATCCAATGACTGATCCAATTCACAAAGATCTCTTACTGAATATGTACAGAAGTTGGAAAACATATCAAGAGGACTTAAAAACATGTATTTCAGATGAGTCACCTATAAATGTCTACATTAGCAGAAAAGCAAACTGCTTCTACCTCTGCATGTGCAGTTCTCGAGGAAATTTCTTCAACTGTAAATGAGGAAAATAAAAGTCAACCTTCCTGCAATTATGAAGTTCACCACAAAAGAAAGACAAGCCCACAAACATCAGAAAATAAAAAAAAGCAGCAGAAATTAGATAATTTTTTTTAAAGAATTAATTCAGGTAATTTAAAATATTTACATAAAATGTAGTAGTTTATGTTTGAAAATTTATGGTTATTAATTTTGCAAAAAAAGTAATTCATTGAACTTTTATAATTAGGTCATTCAGTACTTCATAATTGTAATCTTTCATATCTCTCCCCCCCCCCTCGAATTCCAAAATGTCAGTAGTGAGTCCGTAAAAGTTTCAGGGGATTTATTGGAGTCCCACAAACACCCCTGCTCTTAATT